ATGAGGCCCACTGCCGGGTTATGAGAAGCCAGCACCTCCCACCACCACCACCACCCAGTATGGGCTGTGCCACTCCCAGGCTGGGTGGAGCAGTGGTAGGTGTAGCTGGAGCAGCAGGTCCAAGGCTGCTTAGAGGGGAGCAGACTTGAATCCAGGTCAAGCTTCACAGCCCCCGCCCTTGGCTCACCAGGCTAATCCCTTACAATAACAGCGCCTGGGAACAAGGGCAGAGACAAGCTGCTTGACTGTCTTTTTGTCTGTGTTTGCTGGGACATGAGTCTCCTCCTTGTGGAGCTCCTCCCTCCAGATAGCCAATAGAAGAGAGTTTCCTAGGGGCCAGGGAGATGGCTCAGTGGAATAAGTGCTTCCTTAGCAAGCTCAAGGGCCTGAGTTCAATCCCTGGTTCCGCAAAAAAAAAAAAAAAAGAAGGAGAGAGTTTTCCAACATCCTCAGAGTCTGAAGACCAAAAAGACCTTCCTGAAGGAAGAAGTCAAAGAAATTGTTCTAGGACTGGATCAAACCCTCATACCCCTACCATCTCCCAGAGCTGGAGCCAGAGCCAAGAATACCCATGCCTGCAGAAGTGAGGTCTGCAGGGACACTAAGAATGGGCTGAAGGAAGGTGACAGCTCCCTGAACTCCCACAGGTCCCTCAGTCTGGCTCTGTCATTTGTGTCTAAGGAGGAGCCTGACTGCACACAACCCCATGTGCTGGACTCCATCCTATTCAACCCAACTCCAGTTGCACAGGTTCTATGAAAAGGCATTTCCTAGTAGCCCTTGGAGCCTTTGTGTTGTATGCCAACTGGCAAAAAGCTCCCAAACGTCATCAGAGTCTCTACAAGAGCTGAGGGAGGACCTTGACGCAGAGGGAACTTTTGTTTTTTAAGAGCCTTACAGAAAAGGGATCCTGTGAACCTTCTTGGTTGTTCATGTCCCATCTTATCCTGTTCTCCCTGTGGTCTAGCTGAAAGCCTTCTTGCTGTGACAATGGGCTTTGGCTGTCAGCTCTTCCCCTCATCCCTTTCATGACTTAGGAGGAGAGAAGACCTGGCAGGTATGGCTTTCAGAGCAGAATCCTCAAGGCTAAGGGACTTCAACCACTTCCCCTTGGCTGTCTCAGACCAGGTGCGCCCTGCAGCCTGCCCCACGGAGTCTGAGTCCTCTCTTCCCACGCCCACCTGCAGCAACCCCAGGCGTCCTCCCCCATGTCTTTCATGAGGCATCTTGAAGCCATCCCCTGCCAGCCCCTCCCTCGATTCCACACCACCCACCCACTGAGGTGGCCTGGCAACCTCTAATTCTGCTGCCATCACCATCCCTTAAAAGAAGAAACCCCTTAAAAGGAATAAACTCCTCCACCTTCCCTGGAATCCCAGATGATCCATCCCTCTGGCCCCAGGCAAAAAAAGGGTGTGTGTGTGTGTGTGTGTGTGTGTGTGTGTGTATGTGTGATATGAACTCTATATCCTTTTAAAGACCTAGGAGGAAAATTACTTCACAACCTCTCTCATTCTAGCCATTCATTTCTAGCTTTAGGACTATTCCTACAGGCAGTCTTTGAGCCGAACTTAAACACACTGGAATTGACAGTTTACTTTGCAGCTAGAGTTGAGGAACAGAGGCTCTGGCCCACAAAAGACAAGTTAAGAGGCAGTCATTTCTCTACGGTCCTAACTCACTGTGCTTCCTTTAACTTCTTGGTACCCAGGTCCTCTCAGAGTGCCTCTAGCAATAGCCAGCAATGAAAAGGCTGCAGCAGTTTGGAGTTTTATAGAATGCCTGAAGTCGTTTTCTCATCTTCTGCTACCTTAATATGACTCAGTTTATCCTGAAATGGGACAGGTTTTTGGTGACGTATTCAGATAAACTCTCCAGATTGAGAAACAATGTTCCGGGAATCACAGTTCCCTTCTTGGATATGCTTTACAAACAGGATTGACTTCTATCTGCCTAGAATGCTCCAGGTAGGTACCTGGGAAAGCAGGGAAGGCAAAGGAGCAAACCCTTGTCGCACATCACCAGTGGGCCACGCGTGGTCCCAATCCTGGATAAAAAGAAGACACTGCACCCCCCACACACATACTGCAGCCTAAATACCCCTCTGGATTTAGGCAGTCATCCTCCATCATGCTCCGAGAGCAGCCCTGGTCCTGCTCTGTACCTTCTGCCCCTAAGAACACACCTAGTCTTAACTATGGGTCCTTCCCAAAGATGGTGACCAGGATTTGGGTTGGGGACAAAAACCTGACCTAGGATGGCTTCCTAGGGGGGTGGCATACAAGTCCCCTTCATGGGCACCTTCACAACACTGGCTGAACACTTATGAAAATGCCACTGAACCACTCTGACCTCCGTCTGCGGCCCCCATCAACAGTATGAAGGAGGCTGGAATTTTTTGCTCTGCATGTAACTTGCCTGCACTGCAGGAGCTGGTGACCTCATCTGGTATGAATCTAGGTGTTGCTTAGAGAGTATTTGTTGAATGTGGTGAACACCTACAGTCAGCTGACATGAACAAAAGGGGACCACCCTCAACAATGTGGGTGTGCCGCATGTGATCAGTTCAAACTGATGTGTTCCTAAAGAAGAAATTCTGCCTTAAAATTGCAGCAAGCTTCTGATGTGAGGAACTGCCTTCTAGATTTGAGACTTGTCAGCCCTACAGCCATCTGAGCCAATTCATGAAAATCAATCTTTTCATACACATGCATATCCTATTGGTCCTATTTCTCTATGGAATCCTGACTGTTTCCCACCATGGCTCAGCTCTGTCTTTTGGGGACCTAAACAGTTTCTGGGGAGAGAGAAGAGCTTAGCCAAAAGCCCTGCAGAGATGGCTCTTTGTGAGTACAGCCAAAACCAGGGTGAAAGTAGGAGGTGGGGTAAGCACGGGTGGAAGAGCCCTGGGACTTTGTTGCTGTATGATTTTGGGAAAGTTACCTAACCTCCCTGATCCATGTTCCTTGCCTACAAAGCAAGGGTGATCCTAGCTCCCTGGCAGCATGACAGAAGGATTAAGGAAAGTAATAATCATGCAGATGTATATGAACCACTCAGCAAGTTTTTGCTTAATACATGGCTTTACAGGAAATGAACAAGAGCTTTCCTCCACCAGAGGAAGGGTGAACATTTGGAGCAGGGAGGACAGTTGGAAGAGGGATGAATTAGCTTCCTTCCTGTTCTGGCAGCTGTGGAAGGGGAGGCTTGAAGCCCCTCAGCTTCCTTCCATCATATCCCATACCATTTGCAGCTCTCAAATTCTGTGATTCCAGGGTTGCATCCTAAAATCCAGAGAAGGGCAGGGTGACAAATTCAGTCTTGGAAAATAGGTCCTGAGAGGAAAGGGTTAAAGGTGCTGCAATCATTTAGCTTGGAGAAGGGGTAGCTGAGAAAGCTAAGAGGGTTGTTTGGATGAGGGCCGGTCCAGTGTCCGTGATGCCTCTAGAGGGAAAAAGGAACAGTCTGACAGGCAGCTAGAGGAAGCCAAGAGAGCAGGGTATTGCCTTACCAGCATCACTATCTGGAGGGCTTGGGGGTGCTGGAGGTGGTCGGGGTAGGAAACAGGTTGGGTGACCTCTGGGATTTCTCCCTGCTGTTTTGATTCCGGAAACTAATTTTTGTAGAACTGTGCA